ACGGGAATAATTGCCTCGTAATAGTGAACTCTCCAGGAATCAATAATCATTCACTCACAGGGGGAATGGCTAGAAGGTAGAGAAAATTACAAGAGCTTCGGGCAGCATCTGGGAAGCTGATAAAGTCTATCGCTAATCGTCTGTAAGCCAGAGCGAGACATTTTGAAAGTGGCCGAGTACTTTTATGATAAGGTCGCACGTAAATCAATGTGTTGTGCTTCGTGTGGAGTTACAACCCGGTTCCGGTCGATGACGCGCCAGCAGAAAGTTAACCTGAGTCGAGCGTGTGTTGCGGAGAATCGAGGGAGGGTCCTGCGACTCATCAGCGTGGTGTAGCAAAGGACATTTCCGACAAGGTCGACCGTAAATCCACGGTGTTCTCCTGCGGACAAATTGTTCTCGGTCAGGTTCTCGCCAATGGCAGAAAGTCAACCTGCGTCGAGTACATTTTGCCACTTCGGTGTGTATCGTGAGCTCCATCGCTAATCATCTGACGAGACATCTTGAAACAAGTCGAGTACGTTTCTTTAAATCATATATATGGCACAACTGCTGAAATAAATGAAAAATATCAAGTTGAAGTTACGAAACATGCATACGGTGATCATGCTTGAAATGTGGTTGAATCGTGCACTAAGTTTGCGAAAGAGTCCTGGATATTTAACACAGAGATTTGTGCAAGTTAGGTCAGTTCTAGTGTAATCGTGTAAAAACTGAATTGAGCTTCCGGTGGAGAGGGTCCGATCCGGACTGGATGGGGTTGCAGATGTGGCCAATGGCCGGCGGGACGAACGAACTAAGCAGTGCCGAGTCCAAGATGTCTGAGATCTGCATCGTACGCGAAGCCAGTCGGAAGGAGTCGAGCGTTAACCACAGCGAAAGGAGTCTGTGAACATCGCGGAATTAGGATGCGAAGGCTCAGTAGTAGCATTGTTTTATAGTATAAAAGAGTACTTTCGTGTTAAAGTACATTAGTTAGCTTTTAATAAAAACCAGCAACAATTTTTTTCTGGACTAGAAACGAATACATGTGATATTGTTTTCGCAGCGGACTGTTTCATATAAAATTTTGTTGTTAATATTTTCAGAAATAATTACATTCAGGATAAACAAACTACGTGTTCATTTTTTACTAGTAAATATAATTAATACTACACAAAAATGTTAGGGATGCTGCAACTGCACATACTTTATAACATTTTTAATATTTGTAACTTTTGGAATTTTTAAACATTTCGACAAAATTTCAATGAAAATAAGACATGTCCCATATTTTAAGCATTGGTTCCTCTATTTGAGGAAAGAACTTGAAGGAAAAATGTATAGATTTCTTTTTTCAGAAAAAAAATTATATATTGTCTCTTCTTCAAACTAGAAGTATGAGAAAACTACTCGTATATCAGAAAACTGTGCATGGCCTTATTTACGGATCTATTTGTTTAACAGATTTCATTAAAGTAACAACAATATTGTTGTTTTGCAATGTTAAATTTTCTGCAATTTTCGAAAATGCAGAGTTCGCCGAAAGTGGGAATTGCGTAATTTGTGTTAACTTACTTTACTCTATTCGAGGAAATATTAAGAAAAATTCATTTGAGAAAATAATTGTTTAAAAATTGATAAATTTCACGCACAATTAAGCAAAAACTCATAATATTTTCGAAAATGGTGTATTGTTTTCTTTAAAGATCTGTTTTTGAAAAAAAAGATTTTCTGAAGGAAAAGTCTGAATATTCAATATTGTAGATGTAGGAACGTATTTTGAACTTTTGCAATTTCTGAAAATTCAGAGTTTTCCGAACTGCGACATTTTTAAGACCATTTTATCTACCCGAGGAAACAATCTAATCCAAAAATTTGAAACCATTTACAGTTTTGAGAAAATTTTTGAAGTGTTAAGGCCTCGTGTAAAGTACCTCCAAGAAACCAAAATAACGCTTTCAAATTCCTCGAACTTCGAATTCTGGTAGAACGATCAAGGAATTTTGGGGAAAACCATGTGAACGGTTTAGGCGCTAGTGATGTCCACAGACGGACGGACATGTACTATATATTTCACTGTGAACCAATTTTCGGTAGCAAAGACCCGCTAGATGTGAATTCTGGCTGCACAGCTTGATAGAAGTAATTTATTATGTATAGAGGAACAAGATTAATCTACGTTGTCCGCAGCAGGTCCCAATAATAATTTTTGTGAGGAAAAATCGCCACTTTCTGCATCGTATTGTATGCTTTTTCGTTAGGTAAAGAAAAAATCAACGAAATTCGAGACATTACGTTCATTTTTTAAATATAATATGTTCGGCTTGGCAGAGAATGATTCTGTAATAGTTTCGAGATGATCGTTCAGAATATGTAGTCGCACAATTGACCGAAGTGAGTCGGATTCGAATCCAACATTTACGGACCGGGTCGCCTAGATGTTCACAAGCGTCTTATCAGGCGCTGAGCGTATTCGTGCATAGTCCGGAAATGAAACCGGCACGAGTCCAGCGGAGCTCGAAAATTGGTCTGCTGAAGCCAGAATGGAAACTTTCTGGTTCGGCGCTGAAGAAGTAAGCCATGTTCAATGCGTTTGCGCGGCAAACAGATTAGAGGCGAACCGGAGAGAGGATGCAAAAGAATTTAATTCTAGTCGCAAGTGCTGACTCGAAAAAGGTGAAAATAGGTATGAGAGCTAGCTTGCAACAAACACGAAAAAGAGAGGGGGAACTCAAGAACGAAGCAAAGAGAAAGAACATGAGCAAGGCGGCATCTCCCTTCAGTAATGAGAATTAGATATGTGATTCGCATTTGTCTTCCTAATTTTTCTGAATAACATCAAGAAATGCGGAATTGAGAAACACCGATCAATGTACACGCAGATCGATAAATATGAAATTTCGGCATGTTGAGTAATATCTGCCAGAAGGGAATGAATAAAAAATTAATAAATCATATTTTACTATTATGATAATTAGCAATAAATGTAATTATCAAAATAATATAACTGATAAGTCATTATCTTTAAATAAAAATGTAGAAGTAGCGCTACAAACAGAACTAAATTTATAATTAGACAACGTAACTTTGGGAAAGTTAAATTCGTAACTACGGTCGTCGCGAATACTAGATACAGCATAAAGTTCACATTTGGCCAAAAATTTATTTTTCTCACTAAATATGTACTAACACAAATGCACAAGATAGAACTATTCCATTTGAAGAGGAAGATACGGAAATATTAATTTTCATCACTAATATTTCATCTACTGGCTGGTCTCGCTCTCTGGTGTCCCCCCGATGCAAGTCTGATTCGCTTCGTTCAGCAGGAAGTCGCAGCAGGTCCAGGTCACGGTCCTGTATGTTTAAAAAAATCTTCGCGTCTGTATAACCCAGAAGGGCTCGACCCATGTTACTGACATTAGCAAGTGCGGTCACTTATGAATCTCCGACATTTCGTTCTTCCTAGCAAGTACTATTGACCCTTTCGGTAAAATATTTCATATTTTGTGGTACGTTTATTATTATTATTATTATTATTATTATTATTTTATTATTATTATCATCTTTAATTTCACCATCTGATCATAGATGTTTGATTAATGAAACATCGCTTGAATTATTATTAATATTTTCTAAATTTACAAAAGATGATAGGTGTAGGTTAAATATACACTTCTCAAGCTGCCAACCAGCATCCTAAGGAGCAAATTTAGGGACTGCGGGTGCCTCTACAATTCTTTGCGCACGGCAAGGGTCGTTCGCAGTCACGCGGTATCTTGCACATCCCAAGTATTTTGAACAACCGGGGAGTTTCTACAAAATTCTTACACAAATTTTGCGGAGCAGATTGCGATGGAGATGGGAGGAACCGAGCGCGGTGGAATGAGAGGCAAAAGACCTGCAACGAGAGAACCCGAGGAAAACCTGCGAGGAGTGCCTTTCGCCCACCAGGCCTCCGTCACGCAGCAACCTCGTTTTAATTCTTGCGGCTCAGATACCAAAAGTCAGCGCTACACTCCTCGTATCGACCCCACTGTGAAACAACACTTGAACCCACATTAGCACAGCCTCATGCGACCATAGTATATTTTGCAGAGGACGCATTCGCATCTCAAACCGATAAAAAGCATGGATAAAAATGCAAACATTAAGTTAATAGTTTATCAGCGTGTATTTGCCAGTACGATCGGCCTCTACTTGGAACCCTCGTGAGGGCGTTCGGAAAGATCTCGGGCGCGAGCAGAGCGTGCGCTTCCCTGAGCGTGTGGGGCGGCACCGCCCACTCACCGCGTTCCCTGGAGCGGAATCTGCGGCTGTAGAGGAGCGGCGGGGTCGCTGCTTGCTGACGGCTGCGCTGACGGACTGGGCCGCGCCGCCGAGCGCGCGCTTTTAACACGCGCGCCCCCGCCCCGCGCCCGCGCCGCGCCCACGCCTCGCGCCGCACCCCGCGCGCGCGCCACGCGCCGCCGCCGCCGCTGATTAGCCCTGTCCCGCGCGCGCCTCCCCACGGAGGAGCAGGGGTGGTGGATGCGGCGGCGGCGGGAGGTGTTGTGCATTGGAGACGAGGGAGGAGGTGGTGGTGGTTGCGATTGACGGTGTGGTGGGTGGTGGTGGTGGTGGAGGTTTGAGGAGTATCAGTGGTGGTGGTGGTGGTGGTGGTGCGTGGCGGTGGACACGGTCTGAGGTGCGGAGTGTGTGAGTTGGCAGGATGGTGGCGGTGCGGTCGCAGATATCGGGATTCGACTGAGCGTTGGGTTGTGTGGTGATGATTGAGGATGTGGTGATAGAGGTGATAGTGATGGTGGTTGAGTTGGTGGCGGCGAGTACGGTACTGAAACCTCGGTGGTGGGGATGGGGGAAAGTGGCGGCGGCAGAGACGGTTGTGTGGGGAGCGGAACCGCGGACGTAATGGTGATGATGAGTATTGTGCTGCTCCTGATCTATGCCAACTCTTTATTTACTGAGCATTTCTGGTATAGACAAAAAACATCACTACGTGCCCGGAGTACGCAATAATGGAAAGAAATACGACGTACTGGAGGCCGAACGACATACGATTTGTTCTCCTTGGTGAATAAAATGCTTTCTCTCACTCTTCGTGTTCTTTAAACATTGTTTTAGAATAGAGTGCATGGTAAATCTCATCCGTTTTGATTAAATTAACTTAGTGCCTGAAACACCTACCATCGTTTCGACTCGTTTCTTACGGTCACTGTTTCTCTTTTTCAATCATTCGAGATCGTTAATTAACGAAATGCATTGAAACTTTTACAAATTAATATATACACAATTTTACTCACTTATGGAATTATAATTCGCAAATTGATTGGCTATATTTTGCGTTTCAAACTCTTTGAATTGCATGAAATGAATTAGAATTCACTTCATTGCCCGATCGGTGACCGACATGAAGTCACTCGAGTACCCGTGTGTATCAAAGCCCAGGAATGATCTCTCGCCAATGAAACTTGAAGCGAGTATTTATTAACTGCGCACGCCTTAACTACGTCGAACAGGCAAAAGTGGCTCAGATCTTCAGCCGATGTCCCCGCAGTGCCTCTGACCGGGAGGTCTTGGGGAACGCGTTCCGACGGTGGCAGGGTTTCCGACACTAGCTACACAGCAAGGGCGAATTCAGGCGCTGTCTGGAGGAGAATTCCAGCGGCCGTCTGCTCTGATCGATAGGTTTCTCTCAACACAAAACGAATGCTGGAGCAGTAGTCAAACAACCGGGCCCCGGATCGCGCGCGAACTTTCCTTCCTCTTCCTAGTCTTTCATCTCTCCTCACTTACACACGCCTATACTCACATGCACTTCACTATCACTATTGTCGGGAGCTTAGAGCTTGCCCCGAGTGGGTAGTGCCGCGTTGTTGGGAGATACCTGGTTTGGGAGGGCAGGGTCTCGCCAGCCAGCGGTGGGAAGAGCATCGCCACCGCCTGCTGCAAAACATGCACTACACTTAAGGGTCTGATGACCTTAGCAGTTGACGCGCCCGGAATCGTTAACCAATTAATCAACTACTTTGGCCATTAGTCCCGTAAGTCGCGTGTACTGTTATCCCGGAAGGGGCGATGTTCCTCTGTCGCTAGAACGGGGACTCGACACGAGGTTTTCTTCCATCAGGATTTTCTCACATTCCTCCTGATGGAATAAGCTCAAAGCGCCTTTTGGTCTCCCGGCGTATGTGATAGTGTAGGGCGTGTAAGAGTAAATTGTGTGTGAAAGGGAAGAGGAGAGAACTAGGATGAGAAAGGAAAGATCGGCCAAGTCCAACCAGGAAATGCGCTTCGACACCTGTTTATAGCGATCTATTATCGTGTAATAATCATCCTTTACTGAAGCCCAAAAATAAAATCATTTCTCTTCGGAGTTTCTTCGAGGAGTTAAGCTTCACAATGCATTAAATTGCAAAATAGTATCCTCAGTAGTTTTTTTATGCACTGAAAGAAGGAATAATGAACGATTGGAAGACACAGCCGTCCTGTAAATTTATAGTTATCGTTCATTAGCAGGATCAAATTCATCCCGTCTATTTCTATTAGTGAAGTGCTATAATTGATCAATAATTTTGGCGATGGGGTTCAGATTTTCTACTTTTTTCCTGCTTCTCAAATCTAAACGACTAACAGAATATATATGTAATAGTTTTAAAGCTAAGATATTGGTCGATACAATAGAAAACAATTCCCTAGTCAGATTATTCCCTGAGTTGAGTTATGAAGCAATGCCATTCAACTTTCTGTTAAAGAGAAATAATCAAAACACATAATTTTTAAATGTGGTGAAAGAGAAAGGAAGCCAGAAGTTAGTCGTTGATATAGCATATGTAGTTCTGGTGGATAGAATACATAGAAAAGAATACGATGAATCTGGTTGCTTGGGCAATTGTTCAGTATATTGACGAGTCACTAAAATTCAGCAAAATAATACATAATGCCCTGGAGCTTAGAGGCACCGGCGATTAGGACAGAGAGACTCACGAGTGAATTCAGAGAGACAATTTCAAAAATTGGACCTGAATTCTTGTTCATAGTAGTTACTTTCAAATGTGTGAATTTTAAATTCAATAACGATGAGTTTTACATACAAATAATTGAACAGGTATAATCGCAATCTAAAGTAACTTTTGTTAAAATACTTTATTTGGGAGTCTGAGTCTATTTCTGATCAAAGAGCGAGGATTGATCTGTGACTTGCAGAATGAGCAGATTCGTTTTTGCGTTATTTTAAATTGTAGGTCTTATCCAACACCCTGCTCGGAATTTTCATAACTAATTGTTATTAACCAATTAGTGACTTGTTTTCATTCAGTATATTTTTTTGTCCAAAAACATTAAATATGTTTGCTGTCAACATTGGACTGAAAAGGAGTATGGATATTCCGTCCACCACTTCTTACACATGGATACATGTTTCCCCTTGAAAATTGTACGTAGTTTTGAAGATTTTTTAAGGTTTAAAATATATTAGTATTTCAAATGTATGAAAAGCAATAGCTTTATCTTTTAAGTCCCTTCATTTTCATAATGGTCTTTAACAGAGACAAGTATTTATTGTATACAAAGCAACTAAAATAAGTAGATTACAGTAAGTAATTACTGTAAGTTTAAGTAAGATAAGTAGATACACTGCCACAGATTGTGAAAGACTGTGTCCAGAGACAGTCAGAGAATTTGCACTAAAGCTTCCAAATTGCCTATTTCCTTTTTTGTTGTTCGACTTCCGAAAACGGGTTGATGCTACGTCATTGCCTGCAAAGTAGAAGATGGTTACGCTTGTCAAATCCCCAAGAGAACTTCCACTACCTCCTTTAAGCGATGACTCGCTGAATGCCCGCGATTCTACAGGCTAAAGGTGGTTCTACACATTGTAGGTAGGTAATTACTCATCGACATTATTTTTCTTTCTGTCTGCTTTTCATTGTTTCTTTCTTTTTTGGACTAAGTAACACATCATATCTTATGCAACAAATTTTTTTAAAAAGCCTTTTTGAATAAAATGCATTAAGTAATAATTCTCTCGCTACATTGCGTAATCTTTCAATATATTTTTTTCTAAATCAAGCGAAATATTCTGGAATTCTTCTGGGATATAAATGTAAATATATGAAGTGAAATTATTAATTTGTCCAGTTTGTAACTTGCAATTTGCAATTTCCATTTTGTGAAGTATGTAAATGTGTTACGTGTGTTATGTGTAATGTGAACGCATATCTTAGTATTACATTCTTCACGTAAGATGTCATTATTAAGCAAGTGGTCATGCTTTGGTACATATATCTGTAGGAAGCCTTTGAATTATGCCAGAAGTACGAGAATATACAGACAATAATAATAGGAACAATAATAGTAATATTAGTAATAATAGCAGTAATAATAATAATAATAATAATAATAATAATAATAGTAAAACTAATAAAACCCCGTAGAGTTCAAGAGCGAAGCGCAAGAGCGAAATTACACAAACTGCCATGACTCTCAGGAACAACAGAAAGCAGGTGAAAGCTACTAAATCAAAAATGAAGATCAATTTACTGACCAGATTAAAGTTTCTGCATCCAAAACAATATTCAAAACTCAAATCGAACATTAATATCTCATTGATTCATAAAACGATAATGAAATATTTTCGGTGCCATTGTGTGTTGCTCAACTAGGTTGTTCCATCGGATTTTTTATTAAAAGTAAACATAGAACAGAAGAGATGTGTGAAAATTGCAATTACTGCTGAGAAATAAAAATTCTGGATAGACTTATGTGGGTTGGCAGATATTGAAATTAATATTTGCGTAAGCAATAATGTTTCGCTGACTCAGAACATGCTCAGAAACATGCTCACTACTGACTGTTTGTGTCAAAAATAATTAACTCGGTTGTTGCATAAATATACAATGATAAGAGAAATATGAGCTTTTTCAGAATATTAACTTAGATTTTGTTTCTTCGCCTAACAAATTGAACTAAATAATCTACCAATTAGAACTAAAATTATCTTAAATAAGTACTTAACAATATACTAATTACAACAAAAATGTTGCACAAGCACCCTGAACACGCATCGCGGCACTTCACCTCTTTTACGTTTTGTTAACTTGCATTAATTGTGTTCCGTATTTGTTATAAAATGTCCCACATTACTATCTAATAAGAGAGTACTTTCGATTGTTTAGTTATCAGCGTCTGTTACCTAGTACAAAAACGCATAAAATATATCTCATTCAATCAAGAACTAATTAATAGATTCAAATATAGTAATACATAAATTTAAAATAAGATAAATTGATATAACATAACCAACGGAGAAAAAGAAAAGGGAAGTCAGAGAGATAAATCATTTAATAATCCAGTAATAACGAACATTTGATCACCGCCCGAGACGGGACCCGCTCCAAGTTTCCCACTGATCTCCCAGCCTGTGTGGTAGTGTTGTGCATTTAAGTGTAAGTGGATGAGATCAAGGAATGAGGATAGGACAAGGAAGAGGAAGGAAAGATCGCGCGTGGTCTGGGGCCCGTTTGTTGGGAATCTGCTCCAGCATTCGCCTTGTGTTGATCGAAAAAAACATGCAAAATTACCAATCAGAGAAAAATTATCCTTCAGGCAGCTCTTGAATTCGACCTAGCTGTCTCGCTAGTGTGAAGGTGAATAAATGTGAAGATTTTGGAAAGTTAATCTGGCGTAATAATGCCGTCAACGATTAATCACCAATAAACCAATTATACGTACCTATTTGCTCACTTTTTTAAAGTACAACCTAAGCTTTTAAGACCTTCGAAATAATAAATACCTGCATATTCTATTCGTGGAATCCGCATGTTCTCTATGACTTGGAGTGGATGTTAGTAATAGGAATTGCTCAATGACGTTATTCATTGATATTAATTATTTTTAATGCATTAAAAGACTAAATGAAAAGATCAACAAGAGTTTCGTATTAGTATATAAACGAGAATGCACAATTGTAGCATTACTTATTTTTAAGGATATATTCGATATTTCTGAAATTATATTCCAAATAATACGGACATCATTCAACAACTACATATTATTTCGCTTCGATTGTTCTT